TTGAAATACTTATCTGGGTCTTTTAATAAATAATCATTGTAGTAACTTTAAAAGTAAAATTATGAAGTTTTTAATTTACTGTATCATAACAATTGGTCAGCATTCCAACTTTTCAATTTTGACTAGGAAGGTCGGGAATTGGTTTGCTACAGAGATGGTATTTAGATTTGGAAAGTGGGTTTTATAAAGTAATTTAATAGAGATAAAAGTACAGTGAAAATTATGAATCAACTTTAGGAACTGAGTAACTTTATACAGTTAAACTTTACTTCTAGTAAGATTTTTAAAGACTTAAGACTATAGTATTTTAGAGCTGCCTTGTAAAAAGATGTAGAGGATTTTATGCAGGGAGTAATGGTCACTTTTATTGAATACTGCTGCTTTTCAAATAAGACGATGAAAGTCCCTCATTGTGTTTAAAAACTGAGTAGCTTTTTATTGTGGCAAACCCATCTGCTATAGTCTAAGCTAAATAGAATATTCACATTAGCTCTTGTTGAAAAAGCAGATACTGGAATAAGAATGGATTAGACTAATTCCTCACCATCTCTCGAAAAAGTTTCATCAATGGTGATTTAGTCATGCAATCCTAGCATATTATGAATAAGCACCACCATTATTGTTTGGATAAAATGGAGAGTTTCTAAGCCAGAAACAGTATCATTAAGGTATACGCAAGTCAGTTTCAACTGGATTTTAAAACAAACTTTATTTCTCACTTACTATTTTGTATAAAAAAGATACATGTGAGAGGTAAATTATGTAAAATTAACACTGAAATATTTTTTTCTTTTTAGATCACTATAAGGAAAAACTCCACCCAAGAAAATGCTGAAATAGGAGTTACAGTACATTGGATTTGCTGGATGAAATACAAGGAGTTAACTTTTGGAACTTGGCAAGAAAGCCCAAATTGCCAGATTACATGTGTAAATCACTGCGTTACTGCTTTAGTCATTGTCTCTATTTAGTAATGACAAGACTGGAAGAAGTAAACCGAGAAGTGAACATGCATTCTTCAGTGCGGTATCTTGGCTATTTAGCCAGAATCAACTTCCTGGTTGCTATATGCTTAGGTCTTTATGTAAGATGGGAAAAAACAGCAAATTCCTTAATTTTGGTAATTTTTATTCTTGGTCTTTTTGTTCTTGGAATTGCTAGCATACTCTATTATTACTTTTCAATGGAAGCAGCAAGTTTGAGTCTCTCCAATCTCTGGTTTGGATTCTTGCTTGGCCTCCTATGTTTTCTTGATAATTCATCCTTTAAAAACGATGTGAAAGAAGAATCAACCAAATATTTGCTCCTAACCTCCATAGTATTAAGGGTATTATGCTCTTTGGTGGAGAGAATTTCTGGTTATGTCCGTTATCGACCCACTTTACTAACCACAGTTGAATTTCTGGAACTTGTTGGATTTGCTGTTGCCAGCACAATTATGTTGGTGGAGAAGTCTTTGAGTGTTATTTTACTCGTTGTAGCTTTGGCCATGCTGCTTATTGACCTGAGAATGAAGTCTTTCCTAGCTATTCCAAACTTAGTTATTTTTGCAGTCTTACTGTTTTTCTCCTCATTGGAAACTCCCAAAAATCCAGTTGCATTTGCATGTTTTTTTATTTGCTTGATAACTGATCCTTTCTTTGACATTTATTTTAGTGGACTTTCAGTGACTGAAAGATGGAAACCCTTTTTGTACCGTGGAAGAATTTGCAGAAGACTTTCAGTAGTTTTCACCGGAATGATTGAGCTTACATTTTTTATTCTTTCAGCATTTAAACTTAGAGACACTCATCTCTGGTACTTTGTAATACCAGGCTTTTCCATTTTTGGAATTTTCTGGATGATTTGCCATATTATTTTTCTTTTAACTCTATGGGGGTTCCATACCAAATTAAATGACTGCCATAAAGTATATTTTACCCACAGGATAGATAGCAATAGCCTTGATAGAATCATGGCATCTAAAGGAATGCGTCATTTTTGCTTAATTTCAGAGCAGTTAGTTTTTTTTAGTCTTCTTGCAACAGCAATTCTGGGAGCAGTTTCCTGGCAGGTAAGTTTATAGTTTGTTTATTATGTCAGTGTCTCTGATGTGTGAAAAATGCTTCCTGCAAGAGTAGAATTATTAGAATTGAAAGATCAAGTTCCTGATTTTTAAAGGGGATTCTTTTTTGGCACTTAATTTTGTTCATGGAATTGAAGTAATGAATATTGATGAGATAATTTGGTTTGATGTCTAGCAAAGAGGTACTGAATGTTAGGAATACTCAGCATGTGACGTGCCTCCTACCTTGTGATTGTTCATTAATGAAATACTCAGATTAAAGATCCTTAGAATATTAATATTTGAAGGTGGCTTAGAGATTACACTCCAGTCCTTTTTCACAAGGAAGCTGAAAGCCCGAGAAGACGTATCCAGTCACTAGTTCTATCCAGAACCAGGTTACCTAGCTTCTGTCTAGTCCATTGGTCTCCTTACTATGGGACGTTTCTCTTACATAGTCATTTCCCTAAAGAGTTTTTATAACACAATTTTATATAAGACATGATTATAACAACAACATATTAGGTTCTTATTTATTGACTAGAGGTTCTCCTAAGAAAGAAAAAATAGATTTTGCAATACATTTTCTGCCCACAATATGTTTAAAAAGAAAAAAAGGTGTATTGTAGAAAAAGATATTCAAACTGTCTGTCTGGAGTTTATAGTATTAACGTGCCCAAAGGTCTGTTGTAGACAAAGACATTCAAACTGTGTGTTTGGAGTTTATATCCATAGTATTAACAAGCCCATTCTTTCATCCTTTGAATATGTATTGACTGTACTGTGTCAGGTACTGTATTGGGTGCTGAAGATCTCAAGATGAGTGAGAAATGTCTCTGCCCTTAGTGTGATCTCTATAATGAGAGGGGGTCAGAGACAGGCATGGAAACAATTATTACTACAGTGTGATAAATGTTATAATTTGACTACCTCAGGTTGGGATGTAAGGCATAAAGGAAGGTCAGCTCTCTGTCGTGCACTTCTCTGCTTTGCACTGGGTAGTTGCTGCAGAGTGAGCTCTAGCTGTATTTGAAGGGAGATGTGGAGACTTGCCTGGGCGTGTGTGTGTGAGGGTGAGCAGGGCAGGGAGCCTGTATGAGAGCCAGCCAGATGACAGAAGCATCATGGGTGTTGCCTGAGGATACCCTCCTCACTTTACCTCACTTGCTAGGAACTATTAGAATGATGACAACGGTGATGGATGATATCGGAAACTTTAGCAAGAGCTCTCTTCCTCACCTTTCTACCTCCTGTTAGCTCCTTTCCCGTCACTACTCCTGTTTTCTTTTCTAAATCAGCCTCATTCATGCTTAACAACTTTGCCAGATCATCAGTTCTTGTTAACCAGATATTTTCTAAGTTACCAAATTCTTGTTTTCTGTACAGTGTTATGTACCACTGGTGGTACACAAAAGCTTTCCAAGGAGTATGTCAACAAAGACACTTTAAAGACAATCAATTTCCATATTCTTACCTTCCATACTACTCTCACAGATGATCTGCTTGAGAATGCCCCTCAATTTAGGCGTGGAATAGTACCTCACTGTGGTTTTAATTTGCATGTCTCTAGTTACTAATGACAATGGTCTTTCGATAATCTTTTAATGTGACTACCAGTCATTCACTTACCTTTGTTGTTAAAGTATTCAAATCTTTTGGCCATTATTAAAATTGGGTTATATTTTCTTATAATGGAATTTTAAGGGTTCATTTTATACTCTGCATACAAGGCCCTTATCAGACACATGTTTTGGAAATGTTTTCTCCTAGTCTGTGGCTTACCTTTTTTTCTTGATGATGCCTTTTGAAGAGTATAGGTTTTTAATTTTATGAAGTAGAGTTTATCAATGTTTTCTCTTATGCGCTGTGCTTTTACAATTATATCTAATAACTTTTTGCTCATCCCTACATCACATAGATTTTTCTCCTGTAGTAGTTTTCTTCTGGTAGCTGTATTATTATAATCTTTACATTTAGGTGTATAATCAATTTTTAATTTTTGTTTATAGTATGATGGCTTTCTAATTGTTCCAGCACCATTTATTGAAAAGACTGTCTTTTCCCCTGCTGAATTGCCTTGGCATCTTTGTCCAAAATCAATTAAATATAAATGTAAGATGAAAGGTACAGCATAGGGAATATAATTAAAGAACATACATATATGCATATGTATGTAAGGTTTTATTTCTGAGCTTTTTTGTTCCACTGGTCTACCTGGTCTATACCAATACTATGCTGTCTGACAAGATATTTTCTAATTTCCTTGAAATTTATTTGACCTAGGGTTATTTAAAAGTTTGTTGTGTGATACTGTAATATTTGGGGGATTTCTCACAATTCTTTTTGATACTGATTTCTAATTCCATATGATTGGAAAACATGGTTTGTATGATTTTAGTCTTTTATTAAGACTTGTTTGTGACCAGGCTTGTGTTTTATTCTGAAGAATACGCCATGTTTACTTGAAAAGAATCGAGTATTCTGCTCTTTCTGGATATAGTTTTATATAAATATCAGTTAGGTCAACTTGATTGGTTGGTTTTATGCATATATCTATATCCTTGCTGATTTTGTGTCTGATGGTATCAATACTGAGAGAGAGATATTGGAAATTCCATTCCAGTTGCTAAATTGTCATTTTGTTCCCTCGTGTATTTTGGGGCTGTGTTCTTAGGTGGTGGTATATACCTTTACTTATACCTTATTAATTAATTTATTTTTTGGTATCATTAATATACAATTACATGAACAACATTGTGGTTACTCTTCCCCCCATTATCAAGTCCCCACCACATACACCATTACAGTCACTGTCCATCAGCATAGTAAGAAGCTATAGAATCACTGCATGTCTTCTCTGTATATACTGCCTTCCCCATGTCCCCAACCCCCTACATTATGTGTGCTAATCATAATGCCCCTTTTTCCCCTTATCCCTCCCTTCCCCAACCCCCGTCCCCAGTCCCTTTTCCTTTGGTAACTGTTAGTTCATTCTTGGGTTCTTTGAGGCTGCTGTTGTTCTGTTCCTCCAGTTTTGCTTGTTGTTATACTCCACAAATAAGGGACATCATTTCGCACTTGTCTTTCTCCAACTGGCTTATTTCACTGAGCATAATATCCTCCAGCTTCATCCATGTTGTTGCAAATGGTAGGATTTGTTTTCTTCTTATGACTGAATAGTATTCCATTATGTATATGTACCACATCTTCTTTATCCATTCATCTACTGGTGGACGCTTAGGTTGTTTCCATGTCTTGGCTATTGTAAATAGTGCTGCGATAAACATTCTTGGTTATTGTAAATAGTGCTGCATATGTCTTTTTCAAAATGGGCTCCTGCATTTGTTAGGGTAAATTCCTAGGAGTGGAATTCTTGGGTCAAATGGTATTTCTATTTGTAGATTTTTGAGGAACCTCCATACTGCTTTCCACAAAGGTTGAACTAATTTACATTCCCATGAGCAGTGTAGTAGGGTTCCCCTTTCTCCACATCCTCGCCAACATTTTTTGTTGTTTGTCTTTTGGATGTTGGCCATCCTAACTGGTGTGAGGTGATATCTCATTGTGGTTTTAATTTGCATTTCTCTGATGATTAGTGATGCGGAACATTTTCATGTGCCTATTGACCATCAGATTCTCTTGTTGGGAGAAGTGTCTGTTCAGCTCCTCTGCCCATTTTTTAATTGGGTTATTTACTTTTTGTTTGTTGAGGTGCATGAGCTCTTTATATAATTTGGATGTCAACCCCTTATCGGATATGTCATTTATGAATATATTCTCCCATACTGTAGGATGCCTTTTTGTTCTATTGATGGTGTCCTTTGTTGTACAGAAGCTTTTTAGTTTGATATAGTCCCACTTGTTCATTTTTGCTTTTGTAGTTATACCTTTTTAATATATTACCTTTTTATCATTTTCATAAAAGCAAAATTGAGGGATGACAGCATGAGAGGTGAGGCAGAGACCTCCTCCTAAAACTGCATATAATACGAAAATATAATTAATACAACTAATCCTGAAAGAGCAACAAGAAAGGTGGCTGCACCAGACTGCAAACACCTGGAGAAAAGGGCAAACCTCACCGAACAGGGTAATGTACCAAAGCTTTGACCCAGTGGGGCCCAAGCCTTTCCCGCACCCCAACTCACCAGCAGGAGAAAGCGAAACAGAGTGGAGAGGGAGTTGAGGCCTGGAACTGCTGAACACAAAGCCCTGGAGATCTGCTCTGGGAGCATGAACCTACATTGCATGGTGCTCTTGTGATTGAGTAGGGTTGGAAAGCTAAGACAGGTGGAATACCTGGAGACACGGAGATTCCAGCTGCTTGTGGAAAACAGGGATTCATATCCAGCTGATATGGGTGGGCAGTCTGAGAGACTTCCTAAAAGTCTCTTCCTAAAAGTCTCTTCCTAAAAGAGAGGGCTGCTAAAGGGGCAAGGATTGCATAGAGCTTACTGCTCAGGATGAAAGAACAGGTAGACAAAATTGTCTGGGTGCACTCTGCCCAGCAGGTTCGGAGCTTAAACAATCTTCAGGCACTCCATCCCCCTGGCTTGCTATGTAGCTTGAAGGCCCCCCACCATGATATGCAGCCTGCTGTGTCTTCCTCCTGGCTAGCATTATCTGACTCAGGCTTGCAAACCAGCAACCCCTGCCCTGGCATCAGGCCAGCCAGAGGGAAGCCCTGCCTATGGCAGCTATGAACACAAAGCATAGAGGCTTACAACTCTGTGTTCAGCCCACTGGCTCTGGCCCACTGGTTCTAGCAGTGGAGACAGGCATAGCAGCCAGGAAACAGGAAACAGCTCTTTCCTCCCTCCAGGCACCAATACCGCTCCCCTGCGACACCCAACATTGCTTCAGGGGCTGAGCAGCTCCAGAGAGTAAAGCTTCTGGGCACTAGAGGGCACCACAGACAAATTAATGAAACGTCAAAGGAACGTAGTTCAGAGCAAACTTATGAATACACCTGAGAAAGATTCAAATGAAATCGACCTCATGAATCTTCC